GACCTTCAAAGGGGTCGCAACCCACAGGTTGAGAACCACTGCTTTTAACCATGCAACGATGGTTGCACTATACCTGCTGGTTAGAGGCAAGTTTAGTCAAACCAAACCCAAAGAAAACCTGTCGCTGTGGGGTCAATTCCAGCTTATCGTGACCCTCGAGGACAATGGCCTCATGCCTAACCCTTGTGTGGATGGCACAGGACCAAGCAATGTCCCATCCTGTTGAACAGAGGACCGCCTCCACAGCCCCCAACAACAACGGTGGGCAGGGGAGAAATGCCCCGCAGGATCTCCAAGGTGCAAACCGTGGTAGTAGCCGACTACCACGTCTCTGGCCCCTGGAAAAGCTGGTCAGTCTGAACCACCAACCTCGGAGTAGCAAAGAGCTTCGCCCCTGTGCCCCTAGGGTTTCTTCAAGGGCCGGGAAACATGGTTCTGATGTCTGAGTCAATGAGTAAGTAGGAAATGGCCGTGCAATTCATTAGATTCAATTAGATTATGTGAGAGGTTTCCAGAGAGGCGGCTTTCTACACCCATAAAGATGGACAGTCTCGGAAACCACAGGGGCACTTCTGTCCCAGCGCGTCGCCGTGCGTCGGGATTGACTTGAATGCAGTGACAGAGAGCTATTGCTTTTCAACAGTAATTTTCGTTTTACAAAAAAAGATATTTCCCACAGTTCTAGCAAAGTATGTTGTATGATTTCATTAAAGCCCATTCTGCGAATACCCAGCCCTTTACAGCTGTGCATACTCTATGATCAGATTATACAACATAAACCTATGTGCCTGCAGGAAGCTCTGGTCAAATAATCCACTCTGTTTCACACGACCATGTCTGTTCGCTATGTCGGAAGGCACAATCTATGGTCAACACAATATATTATATCGCTATGGTTCCTAAAATGATGTTCAGGCTAAAGTATTCCAAGTGTTTAATGTTTTTATTTTTTTTAGGTCCTCATTTTTCCCCTCCCTCCCTGCTCCCCACTCCCTCATGAGCCCTTGATAATTTATAAATTATTCTTTTGTCATATCTTGCCCTGTCCGACGTCTCCCTTCACCCACT